ATTAGTGATTAAGTAAATAGATATTGGATTAAAATTATATTATTTGGTCAACTTATAAATATCTTTATGGTAATTAATTATTGGAGAAGTGTTTTCCTATTTATTCCTTGCTTTGATAGAAAGTGGAATTAAAGTTATTAAAAGAAAAACTGGTATTCTCTTTGCCTTTATAAAAGTGCATATATCCCATCAATTAATCAGTTTCCACACTTTGAAGTTGCAGCTTAGTTCGTTGTTAAAGGAACTCGATGTTAAACTTGATCTCTACAAGATTTACAATCACAGATCTTATATTTAACTACTTTATTGACGTGTTATAAATATGTAAAAATAATAAAGTTCTAAGATTTGAAATTTATGCTTATTCGTGATTAATGTTTAAGACGAATTATTAAAGTTTAACAACTTGATCTCAAATCAAATCAGTTCCGTTATCATTCTTATAGACTAGTTCATTATAAACAAAAGATTATTACTTAGCCACTGTTAATGATAAATTGATATTCGAATTAATGCGTTAATTTTATTTAATTTTTTTACTTACGTTTAAATTTGTATTCCAGTCCAACCAAATCAATCATGTAAGTGTAATAATTTATCGATTGAAAATCCATAAGCTCACTGGACTCATGTGACAATACCAATAACTAAATCTTACCACGTAGCACTGAAAATTAGGCAATTCATGGGGACTCAAGCAAAAGGACACAATACCACATGCGACTGGCAAACAGAAACCTTCGTCACGTGCACGTGGGTCTCTCTCACTTTCAACGTGTCCACCACTCCCCCACAAAGAGGGCACGTGGGTCGTTCTTTTGTCCCTATTTTCTGCTATAGCAATCCCGTGCTCGCTGCTCTTACCGTAGAGCAGCCAAGCTTTTCCGTAAATGTGAATATGTGATTCTGATGAAGGGCAGATTAGTAATTGACACTATTCCATAGAGCTATTCCGGGTCATCGGATCCGGATCGTAATGCTTGGGCCCATGGATTAAAGTCTCAATGAAAATCACACTATTTTGAATTTTTTTTTTTTTTTTTTGATGACCCAGAACTCCTTGAAATTAGGCCCCTAATGTAGCACAGTTTCATAGCCACACACCGGATGAGTGGAAAACATAAGAGACTTGGGAGGTTCAAACACTGACCTGTGGAGTGCAAGCACCGAGCTCCTACCTGCTACGCCCCCGGGGGCACACTATTTTGAAATTGTGATTGAATAAAACACAAAGAAATGGTTTTTTATTTTTTATTTTTTAAAGTAATGCTATGGTGAGGTCCATTTCATTTAATTTTTCATGAGCTATTTTTAAATTAGCACATTTTAAACTTAAAAAATAATACATTACATCATCGCGTAGTTAATATCAAACTATCCCTTCTCAATATACAAAAATCAGCTCATAATATCATAAAATAAAATCATACGGTCAAAATAATTATTTATTTGATAAAAGGAAGTTAGTAAATTAGTATAAAGAGAATATAATAATTCAGAAATTTTATAAAATAATTTTCATACAATCCTCTTTTACATGGTTAGATGAACCAAAAAAAAAAAAAAAATTAATAATAATAATAATTAGAGAACTCATGGTAACTCTCATGAGATCGACTTCATGATAACATTTTTTATTTTTTTTTTAATTTCTCTATTTTTTTTTTTTTTTTCTAATTATAGAATACTTGAGTTCATAAATTTCAAACCCCACACACTTTCTCTATTTAATGGTTGTCCAATGAAATTTATTATGGCCCTTTATTGACAATCAAGGAGAGTGCCCTTATCTTTTAGGCCATGGGTCCTTCTTCCAGACACGTGTTAGATGATCAATTAAGAAGAAATTTAGTTGAAATTGATCCCAAAAAAAAAAAAAAAAGACAACAAAAAAAAAAAGGGAGTTGGACCATTATCTCAACTTCATGAACCATGGTCCCCTCCCTTGCATTAATCGTTTGTTTGTACTTCTAAAATGAATATATATACACCATATATGTCATACATCATTTTTTTGAGGTAACTTAAACTTTGTCTTCACATTAATAATTTTACCATATTTCTCAATTTTTATTACATCTCAAAATTAAATTGTTTAACAAGTCAATTCAAGCTTGTTCAATTTTTTTGAGTTCACATTTTTTAGTGAAAGTGTAAAACTCACTTCGATTACTTCTTGATTTCGTTTGCCGAACAGTAGTAGATAGAGATGTTTGGGTAAAGTAAGCTTATGAAAAGAATTGTACATAATTATCAAAACGTTACGCTTACAAATTTTGTTAAATCCAACAATCTAAAATAACAAGCAAATCGGTATAAATAATATTTCAAAGTATTAATAAAGGTAAATGCACATATATAATATATATATTTATAATACATGAGTTAAATTGAATTCTTATATGATTCAGGAGAGTGTTTTGACCAATTGAGTTACCCAAATCACGGACTTTTTTGAAAGATTATTAATCATTTTGATTCGTACCTGAAGTTATTACCTTTGACAAAAATGTAGATCAAGACAGTCTTTTAAGTGAAGCAACCCAATTGTCAATGGCAGCCAATTAGTCTCAATGAAGTGTAAAACAAAGAGGAAAATAACAGATCAAACACAAAACAGATAGATAACATTTTTTAAATTTGATGGAATCTAAAATAGTAAACAAATATGAGATTGAGATATATATAATGTGAGAAATATTTTAATAACAATGTAATAAATTTACTACAATTTATATTGAACCACACACTAAACTCCAAACTAGTTGACCATTTGGACCTATCAATGGTCTGATCTATTTCTATTCAACCATTGAAAAAATTGTCCTTAATTGCGATTCCTTAGCTACCAAGCTTTGGCATGTTATTATGCTTAATGAAACTTACACACTTAGTTTATTTGTTAATCGTTGACCGGCTGAAATAGTTTGGGAATTACGTAATGATTTTTTAAAGGAATTATCTCAGTACAGTAACATCTTACTATTACAGAGTTGGTGTAGGGTATTAAATACCTCTGAAATATTATATATATGTTTTATTTAAATATAAACTAGGTTACATTTTCAAAGAAAGACTATTTTTTTATTTCGAATTCGGAATTAGTAACTTTTATCCAAATATGTAACATGTCTAAAATCATATTTATCATTAATATTGATTTTAAAGGACTTGGATATTATTAATGTTGTAGTTTTTGTTTTTCATATAGTAGAATGTGTAGCTATAGCTGTATATATATAGTCTTTTATCTTTGTCTTTTAAGACAATTAGAAGATTAAACATTTTTAGGGTTCAAAGACATAAAAAACCACAATGTTAGGGATTGAAATTGACTCACAAAATGCTGTAGGAACACCTAAAATTCAGACCTCAAGTTTTTTTTTTTGGTTTTCATACTTCAATATAATTAGCAATCATTTTGTTTGTATATCCAAACAAAGTAAGAAAGAGATGTTTACCTATTGTACTACGATCATAAATTCAAATTCAAATTGTGATTGAATATCGCTCTCTCATTAATTGCGGGAAAGTGATGGTGAGGAAAAATGAAAACCCATAATAAAATTTTCTTAAATTTTCGCGCAATAAAATGCATGCTTCCCACCCAACTGATAGCATTTTTGAGTGACAAGAAAATGAAAGAGGGAGAGTCCTTGTTAGTAAATTCGCGTACGATATGCGAATTAAACGTGTACGTACAAATTTTGAAAAGATACTTTCATTTGTCAATTAGAGTTGAAAGATACGATAAAATATGTTTTTTTTTTTTCATTACCCTATATCTAACGCGTTTATTCGTTTTTGTTGTTCTATTTAATTCGTGTTTATACTTTAGAGTAATATAATTATTTTTTTTCTTTTAGTTCACAAACTTCATGTTTCTAATGGTGTATTTTTCTGAAATATACATTCTTAACACAAATTACTATCTTTTTTTATCGTCTTTTGCTTGATATAGCCATTATCTTTCACGTTATTAAAATAATATTATTTGTTGTGCCAACATATACACATTTCTGATGATATAGTCACCAATGATGAAGATCTTTCTTGGTTAGATGGTGGTATTTAAATTTAGAATAATTTTTTATTTTTATTTTGGGTAGCATAGTTGATTATTTGAATTAAAATTTTTTCATTAATTTTGTGATGAAATTGTTCATGTCATGGACATATGGTTATTGCTTCATTATATTTAGATAGTTTAAATTTTTTTTTTTTTTTAATGATTATTGTGATAGTGTCAATTGTAATATATTTATTTTATTATTTGTTACAAGTTCTTTATTATCCACTCTTTAGTCCTTACAGATATATGATAATATATGATATATAAGAAAATAATAAGATATGTATAGCCGAATTTTTGATCCCGAATTTTTAGTGCATATAACGTATTATATACTTACGTATCCGTATTTATATTTTTAAGTTTCTGTTTTTTTTTGCCGAATTTTTTAAATGTATTTAAAAAAAATATATCGAATTATACTAATACGTTTTTGTATCCGTATTTTACTAACTATGAGAGGGACAACCATATTTGAATTTTAAATAAAACACAATATAGCTTATTTCTCAAAAAAAAAAAAAAAAAAAAAAAAAAAAAAAATAGTAGAATTACTCATATGTTCTTTCCTTTCTTTTTTTAAATTTTTTTATTTAATTTTTTGGAGGGGTATTTAAATAAGATATGGATGTGTTACCTAAAATTTTAAAAGATTACATTAATGAGACATGGATATCATATCGATCGTAAGATTTTGACCCATCGGTGTGTTACCATTTGAGTCACATTCATCCAATGCTCTCTAATTACCCTAATAGCATCTCTTCAAATAATGATCCAATGAAATAGCTCCATCAAACCATCCTCACCCTCTCTTTCTCTCTCACACACTCACACAGTACCATAATGTCACGGGGGCCGTTTTTATAGTTGATATGATTTCTTTTACTTTCACTCATACAAGAAAATACAGGGAGAGATAAATGTACCTCTATTTATATAGACAAGAGAAAAAAACAGGGGAGAGAAAATACAAAAAAAGAAAAACTCTCTCCCTCTCACTCACTCATTCTCTCTCTAGAAATGGCTTCCACTGCAGCCGTCAATGGCCGTGCCAAAACTGTTCCGAATGAGAAAAACAACCCATTTCCCAATCCAATCCGATCATCCCCTCGCCGTACTCCATCCTCTTCTTCCTTCTCCTCCAATTCCTCATCGGGATCATTGTCCTTCTTCAATGACACCCTGTTTAGTCCCAACACTCCTCTCCGGTCCTCCGGTATCCCATTTTCTTGGGAACAATTACCGGGAATTCCCAAGAAACAAACACCCGAGAACAAGGACCCTTCGAAAAGTCTCCTTCCATTGCCCCCCGCGGGGACTTCGATTTATTCCAAAAAATTAAACCCGGTTGAAATTCCCCTGCCCCGGAAAAAGTACTACAGTAGCAAGAACTCTAGGAGGGACCCATTTTTCGCGGCATTGCTCGAGTGTTCCAAGGATGATCAAGACGCAATCGACCATTTTTGGAAAGGCTCCAAGGCCACCAAGAGTTTGAGTGACCGGTTCGGGTTCGTGGGTGTGTACGCTTCTTGCAAGAGAACTTGTGCGGTCTCGGAGTCAATTATTTATCTTCCAAGGTATAAGAGACAGGACGAATTCATTCGTCGATGATCAGCCGGTGCAAATTCCGGTGATCGGACGGTCCTGCCGGTGCCAATAGATTAATCAGTGTTTCAATTTGATGTTTCTTTGTTTTTTTTTTTTCTCAACTCTTGTTTGGATGTTCTCCGAGGACAAGTCAAATATGTGCCATAATCTTATAGTTTAATTTCTTGTATTAATTATTTACTAGGAACCAGTGTCAATGTGCTTTGTTTAGTTTATGAATTGTACTATTTTGTTTGATTTGTAGACCACGTGCTAGCACAATCATCCATGTCCTAGTCGATCTACGCATGTATATATATATATATATATATATATGTATGTATTATCCCTTCTGTATTAGATGCGATGTTTAGTGGCAGTATGTGACAATGTGTGAAGGTTTCCTAGCATTCGGGAAACCTACATACTGGACCACAGCAAGAGAACATGCAACCGAATTGGCAATTAGTGATTCAACTTTTTATTTAATTTTCTTGCAATTTGTTTTTTATTTTCTTTGGCAAATTAGAGGGAGAAAGGACTCGAACACCGACATACTCAACCGGGAAGATGGATACCTACCAAGCTTTTCATACATTTGATTGGTTGTGTGGACAACTTTGTTTGAAATCGATTTGTGGTTTCAAAAGCTGCTTTGAAGACCCTCTTGGGACACCACACCAACCCTTAATTGTAGGGTAGGCATTTGAAAAATTAGATGGCCCTTAATGGAATTTCAATGCCCTTAATTACTTGCATGAAAATGCACAAAGAACTCTTTATCTTAGTCGTTGTTGGGTTGGAGAAATGTCATCAAAATTAGCATTCATGCCTCATTGTCTCATATTGGCTTGGACTTTGGGCAATGTTTAATGTTATTAATTCAAAGACTATCAAGTAATATTGGTCCCCTCAATGGGTGTGATGTTAGGACACATAAACGAAAAAACAAACCATAACAAGTCAGACATTTACCCGTTATAGCAAGCGGTGTCACCATTAAGATTAATGCATGTTTCATCAATGTATAGTATTAGGACAAGTAAACCGAAAACAAATCATATTTTCATACTTAACAACGTAGAAATTTACCCATTACAACAAGCGTTGTAATCATTAATGTGTGATGTTAGCATCATTAAACCGAAAACAATCCAAGTTTTCATACTTAACAAGTTAGGCATTTACAAACGTTGTGTCGGTTTAAAGGTTTATTTATTTATATTTTAATTTATATATGTTCTCTTTTAATTGGTGAGCTTCTGCAATAAAGGATCAAAACATAAGGTGAACCAAATGAGTTAGTAGGGTCACTAAATTACAACAAAGAGAAAAACAAGCTCAAAGAAAGAGACAATTCTTATTACTGCAAGTTGTGCAACTCTCTTATCCATCATGGAAGAAGCAAACAGAACAACATTAACTCCTAAAAATATGATGTTTAAGGCCACAATGTGACCTTTTTTTTTCTCACTTTTTGTGTTACATATGATGAAAGTTTTAGTGGGCATTTTTTTTTTTCTTTTTGAAACTTTATAGCTTCTGAGAAGAGCCGAAAGAAGCTTCGATATGATGAGCAATAGGTCCCCCAGGACTTTGTGCCCCTTGTTGCTCATCTATCCTCATCATTTGATTTAGAGGGATATTAGCAAAATAAAATAAAATAAAGTAAAATTAATGAATATAATATATAATTACACACACACGCACACTCATATAATGATGGTCGGCTTCGTCTTGACCTGTATAGAAGTGTTCTGGTAAGTAGAGGGCTAGTGGGGACCATAATACATGACTTGTATGTTTGTATATATTGGGAGGAGTTAGAAATTTCCATTTGGAGGGCCAAATTAGTAGTATTACATAATTAAAATTTGACAGATTTATAAATCAGTTATTAGTATATATATTAAGGAAAATTATATCTAAAACATAAGAAAAATGAACCCAGGGACGAAAACCTATATGACAGAAAAATTATAGAAAATATGAATGACAAATTATAGGTTAAAAAAGAAACGATAATTTTAAAGCATTATTAAATAAATTGTTTCAAACCCAAAATTCAAATATCAGCCGGGTATAAATAAATTAAATTAATGGATTTAAAATACAATATCCACCATATTATATGGACCCTTTACAAATAGGTAATGTATGTCTTATCTATAACATTTAGATATGAATATAAAATATGTGTCGAATATTTTTAATTAGACGTGCACTTAAAAAAAATTTATTAATTTAATTTTATTATATTATTACTTTAAAACAAGTGGCATACTTATGTTAGCACTACATTAGGAAAATAAATTATTCTTATCTAAGGCCATGAAATTCTCATACATTTGTTTCCGAAAGCTACCTCAAATACCCCAATTCCTTTTCAGTTTTGTAAATTTCCTCATGCTCCAATTGACAACTTCCTTCAGTATTGTCAATGCTCCTGCAACTTTTTCATTTTGGCACAGAATTGGAGAAGGTAACCTCGCTTTATGTGGGAAGGAAAAACATGAAACCTGTTTGGTAACGTTTTTATGATTTGAATAGTATAGAAGCGTTCTTAAAAAGAAGTTAAAATCGAAAGCACCAAAGCATCATTTTGATGATTCTGGTTGCTCAAGCACTTTAGTAAAAACACTATAGTGATGGCAGTACCTGAAAAAAAAAAAAAAGAAAAAAAAAACGCTAAAATGATCTGGTCATTTTATTTTTCAAACTGTTAACAATTTTTTACTAAACATGTTTTCATATTTTTGCCCTAAAAATTTTGTAACAAATATACGTTACCAAATATGCTTCTGAATAGTATTGAATTCACTTAAAACAAAAGCATTGCTTCTGTTTCGGCTCAGAGTAAAAATACAAAACAATTGTGATTTCCAAATAGACCCTAATGTTACATTTAGTGTGCAAGAATAGAATGGAATGCTAGTGGGAATGGAATGGTATAGCCATTCTCATTCTATTGTTTGGTTGTAAATATAAAATGTGTAGGAATGGAATGATAATAACCCATCCCAATGTTTGGTTGGACCAATTTAAAATTTAGAATGGTATAAATTTCAAATTGAATTATCCAAAATATTCCTCTTAGTAACAAATAAATTAAATTAATAAAATGACATTTTCTAATAATTTTTTAAAAAATAAATGGTGGCAGTGATGGTGGTGGAGGTGGAAAGTGGTAGTGGTGTAGGTGGTGGTGTTGGAAGGCGGATATGGTGGCAATGGTGGAGGCGGCAACGGCGGTGGTGGTGGAAGGCAGTGGGAGTAGTATGGTGGTGGTGGTAGAAGGAGATAATGGTGTAGGTGGCGGTGGTGGAAGCCAATAGAGGTGACTGTGGCGGTGGTGGAAGGCAGTGGAGGAAGCGGTAGTGGCAATGGCGACGGCGGTGGTGGTAAAAGGAGGCGGCGGTGGTGGTGGAAGGTGGTGGCGGTGGTAAAAGACGGTGGCGATAGTGGTAGTGGAAGGTGGTAAAGGTGGTGATGGAAGGCAGTGACGGTGGTGGTGGGGGTAGTGATGGAAGATGGTGGAAGACGGTGTCGGTAGTGGAAGGCGGTGGCGTTGGTAGTGTCGGTGGTGGAAGGTGGCGGTGGCATTAAAAGGGAGTGGTGGTAGAAGGTAGTAGTGGTGGTGAAAGACGATGACAGTGGTGGAAGGTGGCGGAAGGCGGTGGTTATGGTAAAAGGCGGCGGCGGAAGGTGTTAGGGATATTGATTTTCAGATTGTAAAATACTTCTATTTATGGAATGGAAAAGATGTTTTCAAATAAGAGAATAATTATAATAAAACAATTAATATTTAATAATAATTAAACAACAAATATAATTATATCAGAACAAAAAATAGATTAGAACAGAGAAAGATAGTTCTGGCCTGTTAGATGGAGAGGCACACAATGCGCTGTCCTAAAGCCTTTGAAGTCTCCCTTACGTGCAGGTAATTACGATCCACCAAAGACCCCAAGATACAACTCCAATTGTTCCCTATGCGCACGATCACAGAGAAGCTTTCACCAAGTTTTGATGTCACGTTGCCCCAGAGAAATAGAGAATATATATATAGTAGAAGTAGACTGTATGATTGCAGAGAGAGAATATAATTGCAGTAGTTTTTTCTGAGAGTAGAAGAGTACTTGTTTTATTAATCTCTCCGCTAATCAAAACCTATATATTAATAGACTTTATCATGTCTTTTCATCAACAGGTATAAACCTAGATGTGCCATTTGGCTAAATTACTGTTAACATTATTAACAATTATAGCCCTTAATTTAATTTTCTTTAATTTAATTATTATCATCTGCAGTTAATTAGTTAAGGACTTTTGAATTTCTGACCAATAGAAATTCTAGAGTTGGAAGTTTTAAAACTTCTCTTATAACTCTAACAATCCCCCACAAGTTTTAAAACTTTTAAAGATAAAGATCGTATAGAATATATACGTAATTTTTTTAAAAATATCATAATTGGGCAATTGAATACTATGCAATGGGTGCAAGAGTCTTCCAGACTTGAACTTGCACTTAGTGTCGATAGTTTTCATTTGAGAGTCCTGAGAGACTGGGTCTTGAACTCAGTCCTTGAGTTAAACTTTAACATACCACACACATAGTATTGACGATAAACTTAGTTTCACGGTTTAACGCTATTAATGATCGTGCGCTTGCATTTTGATTCTAATGAGAGTTACTAGAGAACAACCCAATTCTCATAGTCGCGGCCTCACGAAGGCTCTCATTTAGATGAGTCCTCTAAAGGTATATGTGACAGATACCTTACAAGAGTATGCTTACCTCGGGCTCATTTAGGGCAATGCCCTTCCTAACATCACATTAAACAGCACAAATGCCATAGGGATGGGTAGGAGAGAATCTTCTTGAGAAACTTTCTAAATAAAGTGTTGTAAACAAGTCACGCAGTACGGATTGTTTTTACCCATTGAACCTTCTTCATGAGATCTCTAATCACAAAGGATGGGTCACCTCCGAATGTGACTCCCTTATGGGCTTAAGCCCATCCCCCTCGACAAATCTAAGACTACGCTCTTAGACAGACCTTGAGTTAATTGGTTAGCTAAATTCTTTTCTGACTTAATATATTCTAAGGAGATTATACTCCTATTCAACATGCTCCTCACAGACTTATATCTTACTTGTATATGTCTATTCATTTTCTTATTTGTATGGGATTGTCTCACTAGATCAATAGTTGCCTTACAATCACAATGTATATGTATTGCTGGAATTGATTTATTTACTA